AATATGTATACAATTATCGCGCATCCGCGCCTTGCTGTCCCAGGCGTCACCAGTCGCTCGGCGGCCAGGCGCTAGTGGCCCGGCCCGGCCCTGCGGGAGCCTGCGCGTCAGGACAGCGGTGCGGCCGGCGCAGGTGCAGATCGGCCCGCGGGTTCGGGTTCTGCGCGGGCTCCCCTTCCGCCGAGGGCGAGGGCGGCGCGGCCGGGACCGCAGCAGAGGCCGCCGATGCACCCCGTCCTGCAGAACCCTGCCTTCCACCCACAGCCGGTTCCCCGTGGGACCCTCAGTCTCAGCTCCCTGACTTCGCCACGGGAGAAGGCCTGGGGACACTAGCTCGGGTGGAGAAGCAGGTGTCCAGAGCTGTGGCCCAGGGTGCCTCCAGGCGCGAACCCGCGGACACGGGGAGGCCGCGTGCAGAGCAGGTCGCAGCACTAGAACCCCAGATACGGGCCGCCAAAGTGAGAAAGAAAGAAACACTCGAAGCTGGACAGCCCGCGTGACTTAGTGCTAAAGCCGCCGCATTTCTAATGACACCAGGGAAAACCAGCACCCACCTGCACAACCTTGAAGTAGTAACATTTGTAAGAATTTTAAACAAGTCTCTGTTAACTACCAAGGTGGCAGTCATAATTCTACGGTCTTCCCCCGGTACCCAATGGGGATTGGTTCCAGGACCCCCTGAGGATACCGAAATCCTGGGATGCTCAAGTCGCTGGGGGGAACGGTGTAGTGTTTGCGTAAAACCTACACACATCCTCCTGCATGCTTCAAATAATCCCCAGATTACTTATAATACCTAATACAATGTAAATACTATGTAAATAGTTGTTATACTATACTGTTTTTAAATTTGTATTTTTTTTTCCAAGTATTTTCCATGTGCAGCAGGTTGAATCTGCAGATGTGGAACCTGCAGATAGGGAGGTGCGACTATAATCTCTCCCAAACACGGCTGGATACATATTTTGACACATAAAAGTTACCTCTAAGAAGACTCTTTATTTGATACAGATAGGGGCAGGGTCGAAGCAGCGCGTGTGCAGGGGAGTGTCTGGTCCTCAGGACATGACTGGCAGCAGCAGTCCCTGCTCCATTTCCAGGCGGGTCCTCGGAAGAAACAAGAAGACGTTTCAGGTGGGGCTGGGGGTGAGGAACTTCTCTCTTGACTGGCCTAGGGCCCACCCTGGGGTCCTGCACACACGCCCAGGAGGGTGGAGGCGAGGGAAGGGTGGGGAGTCTGTTCTGTAATTCATTGTATGCTACATCCAGTCCAGGGCATGGTGGGACGGGGTGCCGAGGTCTGCAGCAGGGGCATGGTCCTGGGAAGACTCGCTAAGTGCGCCTCCTGCCCCCAGTGGTCCATGCCTGCTTTATTAATTTCATTTGTTTGTTTCTATTTTTCACTTTTACACCCGCTTTAAAAGACAGTTTCAGCCCATTAAAATGCATGCTTTCCCCTGACTTACCACCTCCTTTCTACTACATGAAATCCTTTCAGATAGCAACCAACTCATTTCACAGACACACCTCTCACCTCCCCTTATAGGATGGGACCAAAGCTCATCTTTTCTTTTTGTCCATTTAAGATTTGCTCAGCAGAGACTGTCTTCCCCTGCTTCATAGAAAACTCTGGACTTCACGGACCTGTCTGCTCACTCTCTGGTAAGGGCCATGTTAAATCACAAAACACCATTTTAACTCAGGAATTAAAAGTGCAAGATTTCAGTCAATACTTTCATCTGCTATTTAGCCAACTTTACTGAGGTATAATTTGCATACAATAAACTACATTCATTTAAAGTACACAATTTGGTGAATTCTGGCAAACTATACGCCCGAAAAGCCACCACCACAACCAAGATGGGCATCTGCACTGCATGCGGCAGATGCCTCGCACCCCTCTATGGTCCCTCCTCCCCCAGCCTGACCCCAGGCATCCACTGGGTTGATCTTGTCACTGAAAATCAGTCTGTGTCTTCTACAGATCTACAAACATGGGCCGTGCAGGGTGTGCACCTTGTGTCTGGCCCCTTCCACTCAGCAGAGCGAACTTCCGACTCATCCCTCCTGTTCATTTGTACTCCGTTCCTCCTTGTGGCTGAGTGACATTCAAATGGGCCGTGCAGGGTGTGCACCTTGTGTCTGGCCCCTTCCACTCAGCAGAGCGACCTTCCGACTCATCCCTCCTGTTCATTTGTACTCCGTTCCTCCTTGTGGCTGAGTGACATTCACTCTGCTGTGTGGATACACGCCGTTCTCTTACCCATTCACCTGCTGATGGATACTTGTACTGTTTCTAGCTTTCGGTGGTCATGAGTAAAGCTGCCACACTCATCCTTGCACATGTGTTTGTGTGGACATTTGTTTTCATTTCTCCTGGGTAAATACCCAGGAGTGGAATGGCCGGGTCATGGGGAGGTCTCCAAGGATCCTATTTTTTTCCCCCGGTCATCCCCCTCTTTTTTTTCAGACTGAATTTCTATTGCTGTCTTTGAAGCCACTATTTTCTCTCATTTCCATTCTGTTATGCCCATTTGAATTTTTTATTTGATGTTATACATTTTTATTTCAAAAATTCCTATTTGGCTTGCTTTTTCTATTCTCTTTCTCTGCTGAGATTTCCTATAACTTTTTCATTGTGAGCGTATTTCCTTTACTTCATTGAGCACCGTGATTAAGCCTGCTTCACAGTGCTTGCTTAGTCACTCCAGCACTGGGTCATGATGCAGTTGGAATCTATGGTGTCTCTTCCTTTGAGAATGGTTAATATTACCCTGGCTCTTCCTGTGTTGGGTAATTTGGATTGTATCCTGTACACTGCAAATATTATGTTGTGGAGACACTGGATTCTGTTATATTCCTCTGAAGAGAACTGATGTGTTTGCTTAGCAGGCAATTAATTTCATTAGATTCAAGCTGCCAACTTTGCCACACCTGCTCATGTCTCAGTTCAGAAGGCCTCTCAGACTGCCCTGCACATGCATGGTTCAGGGGTTTGCCAGAACTTTGAGCAGTTTATACTCAGAATTCCTCCCCTCTGGCTCTCTATCTGGGTTTCTCTGCCTACTCTCCAGCAGCTGTGGTTGCTTGGCTCCTCCCCTGACTCCTCTAACAAGGAAGACAGTGCATTTTCTGTCAGTGCATCAGTGTGTCACTCTGGGCAGAGATACAGCAACAGTAAACTCATTCTGCACTGGTTGCTTCCCCCAATTTAAACCACCCCCACAACCTGCCTGCTTGCACATATTCCCCAGGTTTCCAAGGCAGGTGTCTCTTCCTCCTGTCCAGGTGTAGGACTGTGCCCACGGGAGGGTTACTTTGTTAGCAGTTTATTCTTCCATACTGAAAGCAGAACTCCATTATATGGCTTTTTGTATCCGGAAACCAAAGCAATTTGTTTCCAAATGGTGGGTGCAGGTGTTGTTTCTTAAGTGCTGTCAGCAACAAGCCTTCAGCAGTAGAATGCTTGGAGAGAACAGTAGGCCTCCAGCCTTATCTTCCCAGGGCAGGACTAGGATGTGTAACTACAAATGAAGACAGACTGTCTGTGTTGGCCTCAGGGAAGCAAACTGAGGATGCATGCTAGAAAATTCTTCTCGGCTAAGAATAAGTCTAGTTGCAAAAAAATAAATTTAAAGCAATAAGTTATGCTGCACATTATTGTGTACCCTCCTTCATCTTTAAAGCATTCCCCAAGAATTCTCAAATTAATAAATAATCTTGAGGTTTAATCTCTTACAAAAAGTAATTTTCGGGCCGGCCCGGTGGCGCACTGCTACAGTGTGCCGCTTGGGAGTGCAGTGGTGCTCCCGCCGAGGGTTCGGATCCCACATGCAGACTGGTTCCCGCTCACTGGCTGAACGAGGTGCGGGTGCAACACCGAGGGTTGCGATCCCGTTGCCTGTCCCTGTCCGGTACGGGCGCAACACTGAGGGTTGTGATCCGTTGCCGGTCACGAAAAAAGACAAAAAGGAAAAAAATAATAATAATAATTTTCTAGCCATAGAACTATGTGTGGTTAGGATTGGCCTTTCACACCCATGTGAGTTTGAGAAAGAAAAAGACATCTCTTTCTGCTGTAGATACTGGATGTAAACCTGCTTACAGTCTAACAGCAGCAAGAACCAATGCTTACATAGTAATTGTGTGCTAACTGCTATGCTGTGTGACTTACATGTATAAACTCATCACACTCTCCCAACAATGCTGAATATCACCCACTTAAAAAGATGAGAAAACAGACTTGCACGAGATCACATGGCAGGTATGTGGCAGGGTTGGGACTGGGCTGGGTCCTCTGGCTCCAGAACCCATACTTACCCACTGCTTTAAACTGGTGTCTGAGGGTTTTTCAACTGAACTGATGAATGCTCTTTGTGTTACAATGTTCAGCTAATACGTTCAGCATGACTGGCCAAGTACAGTGAAATTCCATAGAAATTCTCAATTTAACAAGTAAAGGTATTTAAGATTTAAAATTTTTAAAGACTATTAACTAAAGTAAAACTAAGAACAGCGTGTTGTAGAATTTTCTAGCATATGCAGAAGTAAAATATATGCCAACAAGGGCACTAGGAGTGGGAGGAGGTAATTGGAGTAAACTATATAAGTTTCTCACATTGTTTCTGAAGTACAAAGTATTTTTTAAAGGTAGACCATAGTAAGTTAAACATGCATATTTAATCTCTAGAGGAACCATTAAAAAATAACACAAAGAGGGCCGGCCCGTGGCTCACTCAGTAGAGTGCGGTGCTGATAACACCAAGGCCACGGGTTCGGATCCTATATAGGGATGGCCGGTTGCTCACTGGCTGAGCGTGGTGCTGACACCACCAAGCCAAGGGTTGAGATCCCCTTACCGGTCATCTTTAAAAAAAAAAAAAGAAAGAAAAAAATAATAATAATAACACAAAGAAGCAGAACTAAAAAGTCAGGAGAGGAGATAAAATAGAATAAAAAAAAAAAAAACTTGACTCACCTTAAAAAAAAAAGGAGAAAATGAGCAAAAAAAACCAGATTGGAAAAACAGAAATCAACATCAAGATGGTAGACTTAAACCCAAACATGCTAATAACTGCATTAAATGTAAATGAACTAAATACGCCAACTAAAAAGTAGTGATGAACATCACTAGTCATTAGGAAAATGCAAATCAAAACCACAATAAGCTCCTACACACCCATTAGGATAGCTATCATCAAATAAATAGAAATAACAAATGTCCAGGATGTGGAGAAATTGGAACCTCTTGTGCACTCTGGTGGGAATGTAAAATGGTGCAGCTGGTGTGGAAAACAGTGTGGTGGTTTCTCAAAAAGTACAACGTAAACTTACTATAGGATGCAGCAATTACACTTCTGGGTCTATACCCAAAAGAACTGAAAACAGGGTCTTGAAAAGAGATCTGTACACCCATGTTCAAAGCAGCACAAAAGGTGGAAGCACGTGTCCACTGACAGATGGACAAACAAACTGTGCTCCAATCACATGATGGAATATTATTCAGCCTTAAAAAGGAAGGAAATTCTGACACATGCTATAACACGGGTGAACTTTCAGGACATTGTACTCAGTGGAATAAGCCAGGCACAAAACAACAAATACTGTGTGAGTCCACTTACTTACATGAGGTACTAGAGTAGTCAAATTCATAGTGACAGAAAAGACAATGTAGTTTAGCAGGGGCTGGGGGGGAGGGAAGAATGGAGCACTACTGTTTAATGGCTGCAGAGCTTCAGTTTTGCAAGATGAAGCGTTCTGGAGATGGATGGTGGTGACGGCTGCACAACAATGTGAATTGTTTACTACCACAGAATTGTATATTTAAAAACAGTTAAAATGGCAAATTTTATGTTATGTACATTTTACCACAGTAAAATAAAGTATGGAAAAAATAGAATTAGATAGTGTATATAAAGTGCTTCAATAAATGGTAGTTATTATACTCAGAAAAAAAAAGAGATTGTCAGGTTGGATAAAAAAGGAAGACCTAATGGTTTACTCTTTAAAAGAAACAAGCTTTAAACATAAAGACACAGACAGATTGAAAGTACAGCATGGAAAATGACAGTACACACAAATACTGAGCATCAGAAAGCTTGTGCCGATAAACTGATATCAGACAAAGGGACTTCAGCAGAGTACTGCCGTGCATAAAAGAGGGACCTTTCACAATAATAAAAGGGCCAATTCATTAAGAAGATAAATCAACCTTAAATATGTATACAATTAGTAAAATGCTCTAAAGACATGAAGAATAAATTGACAGAACTAAAAGGAAAAAGACAAATCTACAGTTGTGGCTGAAGACTTTAATATACCTCTTTCAATAATTCATAGAACAAGTAGACAAAAAAAAATCAGTAATGATACAGAATATTTGGGTAATATTATCGACTAACTCAACCTACCTGACAATTACAGAACACCAGACTCCACAGAAGTGGGATACACATTCTTCTCATATGCTGTTTTAGTCCGTTTTTGTTACTTATAACAAAATACATGGAACTGGGTAATTTATAAGAAAACAAAATTTACTGCTTACAGTTTGAGGCTGGGAAGTCCAAAGTCCAACTCGTGGTGGCGACAGTGACCCACGGATCTCACATTGCAAGAGGGTGGAAGCAGAGAGAGCAGAGAGAGCGAAAGACAGACTCTCTTCTTTTAAAGCCCTCAGAACCACGCCCCTGACCACCATTATTAATCCATTCACCACTGCAGGGTCCTACAATCCAATCACTTCTTCAAGGCTCCACCTTTCAATTACCATAATAGGACTTCCCACCCTCTTAACAGTCACAGTGGGGACCAAGTTTCTAATACATAAAACTTGGGGGACGCAATTAAGCTTCAGTGAGTTTTGGGGGGACATAATTCAATCCACTACAGACTCCAAAATTAACCTCATACTAAAACAGGAAAAAGATACAACAACAAAGAAGAAAACTACAGACCAATATCCCTAATGAAAACAGAGGCAAAGATCCTCAACAAAATACTAGCAAACAGAATCCAAGAACACATTGAAAAGATCATTCACCATGATCATGGGTCAAGTGGGATTCATCCCAGGGATGCAAGGATGGTTCAACATATGCAAATCAATAAATGTGATACATCTCATCAACAGAATGAAGGAAAAAACCCAAATGATCATTTCAATAGATGCAGAAGAAGCATTTTTTTTAAAAAGATGACTGGTTAAGGGGATCTTAACCCTTGGTTTGGTGTTGTCAGCACCATGCTCACCCAGTGAGCCAACCAGCTATCCCTATATGAGATCCGAACCCATGGCCTTGGTGTTATCAGCACTACACTCTCCCGAGTGAGCCACGGACCAGCCCCCAGAAGAAGCATTTGACAGAATCCAACAGCCTTCATGATAAAAACACTCAATAAACTAGGTATAGAAGGAATGTACCTCAACACAATAAAGGCCATATATGACAAACCCACAGCTAATCTCATACTGAATGAACAAAAATTGGATACTTTTCCTCTGAGATCTGGTACTAGACAAAGATGTCACTTTCTGCATTCTTATTCAGCATAGTACTGGAAGTTCTAGCCAATGCAATAAGGCAAGAGAAAGCAATAAAGGGCATCTAAATTGGAAAGGAGGAAGCCAAAGTATCCCTATTTGCAGATGACATGATCATATACATAGAAAACCCTAAAGACTTCACTGCCTATGAGATGGGCCTGGAGTATCTTATTGTGCCAGAAAGTACAGAAACGCCTGAAAAACACAAGGAGGGAGGCACGCCAGAGAGACACAGGAGCCACAGGAGCGCGCTCGCCATGGCCAGCATCACACAGCACGAGTGGAAGCACAGAGCTGAGTGCAGGGTCCTAACCCACAGCGCACAGCAAATGCACACGAGTCCACGCTGACAGAGGTGAGTGATCGACACACGGGTCATGGGGAAGAGAAGAGCCCTCCTTGCAGAAGGACTCCACGTAATACTGCAGACACCCCCCCTGCAGGAGGCAGGGCTGGACCCCGCGACTCGCTTGCAAAGGAGAGAGCAGGGACATCTGCAGACACCACCCCAGCCAGGTGAACCAGGGCGACAGTCCTGGCACATCGTGTGGACATCGGGGGCCCCTCGTAGGATGGGACAAGCCGGCACCTCACATCTGCGTGCTCTTTCCAAAACCCAAACCCAGCCCAGTCACCAGAAACCAAATCGGACATACCCAAACTGAGGGACATTCTACAAAGCACTTGACCAGCTCTCCAGAAAGAGCACAGGAGGGGAACCAGGTCTGGGCATCTCCACGGTGACCACCACATGGTCTCAGTTCCAACACTGCATGACATGAGAGGCTGACGTGAGGGAAAACTGATCTGTGCAGCTTTTCTGTAAGTCTAAATTGTTCCAAATTTTTTTTTAAAAATTTAAAAATACACTAGTAATAAATAAATAAGCAAGTCAAGAATGAGGGGTGACATTCACAATACACGTATCTGACAAAAGCCTGTATACAGAATATGTAAAGGACTTTACAATTTGGTAATAAAAAATGGGCCTTGACCAGACACTTCAGAAAAGCATACGAATAGGTAATAATCAGATGGAAAAGTGCTCAACATCGGTAAGCATCAGAGAGATGCAAATTACAGCCGGGAGGAGACACCACTCTACCGCCCAGCTGTGGGGGGCAAACCAGCTGCAACTTTCACACCCTGGACTCACTCGCAGGTATTTTTCCAGAGAAATAAAAGCATATGCTCACCGAAAACCTGTGCAAGAGTGTACGTAACGTTCTCAGTCACAAACACCAGAAACCCAAACATAAGGAACCCACCCAAGTGCCACCACTGGATGGAGGGCACTGTGGCACATCCCAATGCAGCAACACGGAAAGTCTCAAAACAGCATGCCAAGCAGCGGACACACAACTTCGTGCTGTGACTCCACGAGAACCAAAGGGGAAACCTCACAGCAGCGCTTGCTGCTTGGTTGATTTGGGGGAGGCACGGGAAAGACGTACAAGGTGACCTTCAGGGGTGATAGAAACACTCCATATCATGATAGGCGTGTGCGTTACACAGGCGGATGCATTTGTCAAAACTTGTGAAACTGGACACTTACGATCTGTGTGTTTCCCTGTATGTAAATTATACCTCAATAACTAACTAAATAAATGCAATTCATTTCCTACTTTGAAAATCTTATTGGAGCCAAAAAGCTTAATAATGGGGTAAAAAGAAATTTGTACAAGGCAATGAAAAATTTGGTGAGAATTTAAATTGTACTCTATGCTCATCCACAATTCTTTTTTCCTTAGAAGAATAGGTTTCTGTGAAGAAATAAAGCCTTCAGTTCCCTGTGATTTTTAAGTAAGTATCATATAAAGGTAACTAACTGTGTGAGCAGAACTATTTTCCCCTGTAGGGTGACCACCCAACCACCACTAGGGCTACCACACAAATACCCACTGCAATCCCAGTCTCGCAGGTGGCCGTGGCTGAAGAGGGGGGTGGCATAGGTGGTCCCTCAGCTCCTGTTTCTCACACTGTTGAACCCTGGTGAACACAACACAGGAGGGCCGGCTGGCGTCCCCACCGCATCCACGCAGGTACTGCTGGTCACCTTCACGGCCAGCAAAGGAAGCCAACCTGAAATGCAGCTTTCAAGACAAAGTAGGAACTGGCCAGGAACTATAAACACAGGCCTCTCAGTACAAAATCCCATCTTACACTTGATAGAAAACAAATGCTGCAACCTATGCAAATGGCTGTAAAGAAACATTCCAGGCTGCTGCCTGGACCTGGCACACACCAGTGGGGCTGGACCGCGGGGAGCCTACGAGCTGGCCACGCCGACCCCAGGGGAGGCAGAACCCTCAGGACTGTCACCCGAGGAATCAAAGCTAATACAGAGAAGGTCGGCAATGCAGGGAAGGACTGGCAGGGGTGTGTGGGGGTCCCAGGACGCCGCTTGTGGCCCAGACGTCTCAGGTGACCGCCATCAAGACACCTGCTTGTGCCGCTCTGGGGAGGAATATTGGGGCCGGGATGTGTCCGGGTCAGGAAAAGAAACTTTCTGCATGATCCGGATTTTATTTCCTTCTATGGCTTCTAAAACTAACGTGGCCATTAATGATCCTGGCTCAACACGAACTACTGTCCAGTGGCTCTTAACGGGGAGGGAACCAGAGTAATCGGGTCCGTTATTGAACATCCCCCCGGGTTAAACCACGGACAGAGGAGGCCGAGCTCTGCCTCCTCCGTACACCGCGGAGACGAGACAGACGCGGGGAAGCGGGGAAACGGCGCAGACGGCTTCGGAAGGAGCCGTTCCATCCGCCGGAACGCTGTGCTCTGAGACGCCGTGAGAAGCGCGCCCGAACCCCGGTCTCAGGTCGCACCCGAGCCGGCCGTGCCCCGAGCACTCCCGGAGAGGCACCGTGCGCAACCGAGCTCGGGCGGGCGACGTCGGGGCCGNGTATATTCACCAAAACAGACCATGTGCTAGACCATAAAACAAACATCAATGAATTGCAAAGGATTAGAATCTTATGGAGTATATTTATTCTCTGACTATAATGGAATTAGAATTCAATACCAAGAGATATTTAGAAAATCTCCAAATATTTGGGAGTTAAACAAATGGACTTCTATATAACTCATGGGTCAAAGAAATCACAAGAGAAATTTAAAATTATTTTTAACAGAAAGACATGAAATACAAAATTTCAAATCTCGCATAAGAAACTAAACCAATGCTAAGAAGAAAATTCATAGCTTTAAATACCTATGTTAGAAAAGACAAGTATAAAATCACTGATCTATGCTTCCATCTTAGATAGAAAAAGAAGAGTAAATTAAACCAAATTACATGGGTGAAAGGAAATAATAAAAACAAGAGTGGAAATGAATGAAAAGTGAAATAGAAATGGACAAAAAATAGAGAAAATAGTAAAATGGATAACTGTAGCAAGAATAATCAAAAAAATGTCAGCAGAAATTATCAATATCAGAAATGAATGAGGAGACGTAACTATTAATCCTACAACTATGACCAGATAATCAGTCGATATTATAGACAAATATATGCCAATAAATCCAACAACTTAGATGAAGTCGTCAGATTTAATTATTTAAATTTATTTAAATTTATTTACAAACGACCAAAAATGACACTAGATGAAGCAGAAAATCTGAATAGTCCTGTAGCCTTCAAATAAATTGAATTCATAATTTAAAAACTTCCCACAAAGAAAACTACGAACCCGGATAGCTTCAGTGGTAGAGTCTTTCAAACACTTAAAGAAGTGACACAACTATTACACAAAATCTTTGAGAAAATAACATGGGAACATGTCCTAACTCATGGACATGCTATAAATCCAGCCAGCAAGACCTAATGACATCTTAGTACAACCCTGACAGAAACCCCAACAAGGACAGGACAAGGAACTAACAGCCCTCATGAGCACAGATCCCAAACCCCAAAATATGAAACTGAATATCAAACTGAATACATTAATATATAAAAAGGATGATAGAGCATGACCAAGTGAGTTTATCTCAGAAATGCAAGACCGATTTAACATAAAAACCAATGGTAAAAGAGCAAATGAGTGGTAAAAACCAATCACAGCAATCCACCACTGTAATAGATAAAGGAGAAAAGAATGTATATGATCATTTCATTAGATATAGAACAAGCTTTGACAAAATTTCAAGCCCATTCATGATGAAAACTCTCAGCAAGTTAAAAATAGATGGGAACACCTTCAACATGACAAGGGACATCTACAAAAAAACCCTACAGCTAACATCACAC